ATTCCCCAGCCAGCATGCTGGCTGGGGAATTCTGGGAATTGAAGTCCACACATCTTCAAGCAGCCAAGGTTGAGAAACAGTGTTTTAAAGTGATGTCTGCATATATAACTGACTTAATGTATTCTATACCCCAGCCCTACAGTAAGACATCTCAAAGCAGTGCATGCAGGTGAAATGTAAGAGAAAGACAAATGAATAAAACGCAAGGACATAAAATTACAATAAATTAAAAGCATTTGTTATGAAATGTATACTTGGAAAGTGAGAGGCCATGGGAAAAGCATCCATCCGTTGCATTCACACACTAAAAGCCTAGGTAAAGAAACAGGTTTTAGAAAGGCCCCTGAAAGATATGAAAGCAGACATTTCTCAAATATTAGGAAGACGAACCTTGCAGAAAGAGGACACAACTGCAGAGAAGCACACCCTCTAATAAGCAAATGCAGATAATGAGCCTTGGGATTGCATATAAAATGGGTCTACTGACAAAGAAGGAGTTGTCAGGATGCCTGGGGGGAAACTGAACTTTGCAGATGAATAAAATAAATAAAAGGAACAGAAAACCTAGGAACCTTTCTGTTTCCTTCTCCCACCCCAAAACAACTCAACAAGTCCTGATTATGCTCACCGCCTATGCAATGCAAAGATAACTGGGAAAGGAAAGGAAAGCAGAGAGAAGACAGAATGGAACCCAGAGATTGGAGGATGCAACTACAACCTTCTAGAGAGGGTCAGCATGGTTGAGAAGGTGGATCTGTCCCAGGAGAAGCCAGATGCTAGTCCAGTCCCATCAGGGGAAACTCCCCAAGTGATTTTGGGCCTGGCCCCTTCTCTCCCAGCCCAACCTACTGGAATGGTGGTTGTTCTGGGAAACAGAGGAGAAGGGAGCTCTCTGCAGGCCACCTTGCATGAAAGGCAGGATATAAATTTAACAAGCAGGGAAATAAATAAGGAAATAAAAGAAAAAGCAGGGAGAAGAGTGGAACACACAGATTGAAAGAAGAAGCTGCAACCTTCAAGAGATGGCTTGCTTTCAAGAGATCAGAAATACCACGGCATTTCCTTAGAAAGCCCTCCATGTAAACCGCCAGGAGCCCACAGGAATTGGAGAAATAGAAAGACCAAAAGAAACAAATAAATATAAATAAATGATTTTTAAAAAATTATTACAACGAAACAGGCTTGGAATCCATGTTCGACCAGTACCGTTGCAGTGTGGGAGCAGACAACAAACAGGTTTTTTTCTTTGTCTCTCTCCCCCATATGTGTACATCTTGAAATGCTTTAAAATATACATCTTTATACTTTAAAAAAATGTAAAAGACATAGCAATTTTTTAAAAAAAAAATCACCTTCAAGATGAAAATGTTCGTTCTCAAGCGCCTCCCTGAAAATTTCACCAGCGGCCTCCTGTATTTAAAAAGAAAAAAGATATCTGTTATCTTAAGACACTGGTAGGCAATATTTTTATTTGGTGCACACGTATACCTAAGAACGAGACAAGCACACAATAAAATGTCAACACTGTGTGTATCCACACACACAATTATATGTAAATTGCCTTTTCTTATTTAGCTAGTGGACAAGTAAATATGTGCCAGAAGAGGAGGAGGAGGAGGAGGAGGAGGAGGGGAAGAAGAAGAGGAGGAGGAGGAGGAAAAGAAGAATTATTATTTAAATGAAGAAGAAGTAGAAGAAGAAGAATTATTATTCAAATGAAGAAGAAGAAGAAGAATTATTTAAAAGAAGAAGAAGAATTATTATTTAAATGAAGAAGTAGAAGTAGAAGAAGAATTATTATTTAAATGAAGAAGTAGAAGTAGTAGAAGAATTATTTAAATGAAGAAGTAGAAGTAGTAGAAGAAGAAGAATTATTATTTAAATGAAGAATTATTTAAATGAAGAAGAATTATTTAAATGAAGAAGTATTATTTAAATGAAGAAGTAGAAGAAGAAGAAGTAGAAGTAGTAGTAGAAGAAGAATTATTTAAAAGAAGAA